TCTAGAAGCTGAATTCTTCATCACTGATTTGGCGGTGATTATTCTAGAAGCTGAATTCTTCATCACTGATTTGGCGCTGATTGTTCTAGAAGCTGAATTCTTCATCACTGATTTGGCGCTGATTGTTCTAGAAGCTGCATTCTTCATCACTGATTTGGCGCTGATTATTCTAGAAGCTGAATTCTTCATCACTGATTTGGCGGTGATTATTCTAGAAGCTGAATTCTTCATCACTGATTTGGCGGTGATTATTCTAGAAGCTGAAATCTTCGTCACTGATTTGGCGCTGATTGTTCTAGAAGCTGAATTCTTCATCACTGATTTGGCACTGATTGTTCTAGAAGCTGAATTCTTCATCACTGATTTGGCGGTGATTATTCTAGAAGCTGAATTCTTCATCACTGATTTGGCGGTGATTATTCTAGAAGCTGAATTCTTCATCACTGATTTGGCGGTGATTATTCTAGAAGCTGAATTCTTCATCACTGATTTGGCGGTGATTATTCTAGAAGCTGAATTCTTCATTACTGATTTGGCGGTGATTATTCTAGAAGCTGAATTCTTCATCACTGATTTGGCGGTGATTATTCTAGAAGCTGAAATCTTCGTCACTGATTTGGCGGTGATTATTCTAGAAGCTGAAATCTTCGTCACTGATTTGGCGCTGATTATTCTAGAAGCTGAATTCTTCATCACTGATTTGGCGGTGATTATTCTAGAAGCTGAAATCTTCGTCACTGATTTGGCGTTGATTGTTCTAGAAGCTGAAATCTTCATCACTGATTTGGCGGTGATTATTCTAGAAGCTGAAATCTTCGTCACTGATTTGGCGGTGATTATTCTAGAAGCTGAAATCTTCGTCACTGATTTGGCGCTGATTATTCTAGAAGCTGAATTCTTCATCACTGATTTGGCGGTGATTATTCTAGAAGCTGAAATCTTCGTCACTGATTTGGCGTTGATTGTTCTAGAAGCTGAAATCTTCATCACTGATTTGGCGGTGATTATTCTAGAAGCTGAAATCTTCGTCACTGATTTGGCGGTGATTAGAAGCTGAAATCTTCGTCACTAGAAGCTGAAATCTTCGTCACTGATTTGGCGGTGATTATTCTAGAAGCTGAATTCTTCATCACTGATTTGGCGGTGATTATTCTAGAAGCTGAATTCTTCATCACTGATTTGGCGGTGATTATTCTAGAAGCTGAATTCTTCATCACTGATTTGGCGGTGATTATTCTAGAAGCTGAATTCTTCATCACTGATTTGGCGGTGATTATTCTAGAAGCTGAATTCTTCATCACTGATTTGGCGGTGATTATTCTAGAAGCTGAATTCTTCATCACTGATTTGGCGGTGATTATTCTAGAAGCTGAAATCTTCGTCACTGATTTGGCGGTGATTATTCTAGAAGCTGAAATCTTCGTCACTGATTTGGCGGTGATTATTCTAGAAGCTGAATTCTTCATCACTGATTTGGCGGTGATTATTCTAGAAGCTGAAATCTTCGTCACTGATTTGGCGTTGATTGTTCTAGAAGCTGAAATCTTCATCACTGATTTGGCGGTGATTATTCTAGAAGCTGAAATCTTCGTCACTGATTTGGCGGTGATTATTCTAGAAGCTGAAATCTTCGTCACTGATTTGGCGGTGATTATTCTAGAAGCTGAAATCTTCGTCACTGATTTGGCGGTGATTATTCTAGAAGCTGAATTCTTCATCACTGATTTGGCGGGAATTATTCTAGAAGCTGAATTCTTCATCACTGATTTGGCGGTTATTATTCTAGAAGCTGAAATCTTCGTCACCGATTTGGCGGTGATTATTCTAGAAGCTGAAATCTTCGTCACTGATTTGGCGGTGATTATTTTAGAAGCTGAAATCTTCGTCACTGATTTGGCGGTGATTATTCTAGAAGCTGAAATCTTCGTCGCTGATTTGGCGGTGATTATTCTAGAAGCTGAAATCTTCGTCGCTGATTTGGCGGTGATTATTCTAGAAGCTGATATCTTCGTCGCTGATTTGGAGTTAATTGTTTTGGAAGCTGAAATCTTCGTCACCGATTTGGAGGTGATTGTTCTGGAAGCTAGAATCTTTGTCGCTGATTGGAAGGTGATTATTATAGAAGCTGGAATTATCCTCGCAGATTTGGTGGTCTTTGTGTCTGGACAATGGAATATTTGGTCACAGACTTGCAGGTGCGTGTGTCTGAAAATTGGAATCCTCATCGCTGATTTGGAGGTGATTTTCTAGAAGCTAGAATCTTCGTCGTTGATTTGGAGGTGATTTTCTAGAAGCTAGAATCTTCGTCGTTGATTTGGAGGTGATTTTCTAGAAGCTAGAATCTTCGTAGCAGATTTGATGGTGATTGTTTTAGAAGCTGGAATCTGTGTCGCGGATTTGATGGTGATTGTGTCTGGACACTTAAATGTTCGGTCGCAGACTTGGAGGTTATAGTGTATGTAAACTATAATGTTTGATCGCAGAGGTGGAGGTGACTGTACCAGTGAACTATAATGTTTGATGGCAGAGGTGGAGGTGACTGTACCAGTGAACTATAATGTTTGATCGCAGAGGTGGAGGTGACTGTACCAGTGAAATATAAAGTTTGATCTCAGTGGTGGAGATGACTGTGCCAGTCAACTAAAATATTTGGTCGCAAACGTGGAGGTGACTGTACCAGTGAACTATAATGTTTGATCGCAGAGATGGAGGTGACTGTAACAGTGAACTATAATGTTTGATCGCAGAGGTCGAGGTGACTGTACCAGTGAACTATAATGTTTGATCGCAGAGGTGGAGGTGACTGTGCCAGTGAACTAAAATATTTGGTCGCAAACGTGGAGGTGACTGCACCAGTAAACTATAATGTTTGATCGCAGAGGTGGAGGTGACTGTACGCAGAGGTGGAGGTGACTGATACCAGTGAACTATAATGACTGATGGCAGAGAACTGTTTGATGGTGAGGTGGAGGTGACTGTACCAGTGAACTATAATGTTTGATGGCAGAGGTGGAGGTGACTGTAACAGTGAACTATAATGTTTGATCGCAGAGGTGGAGGTGACTGTACCAGTGAACTACAATGTTTGTTCACAGAAGTGGAGGTGACTGTACCAGGGAACTATAATGTCTGATGGCAGAGGTGGAGGTGACTGTACCAGTAAACTACAATGTTTGATCGCAGAGGTGGAGGTGACTGTACCAGTGAACTACAATGTTTGATCGCAGAGGTGGAGGTGACTGTACCAGTGAACTATAATGTTTGGTGGCAGAGGTGGAGGTGACTGTACCAGTGAACTATAATGTTTGATGGCAGAGGTGGAGGTGACTGTACTAGTGAACTATAATGTTTGATGGCAGAGGTGGAGGTGACTGTACCAGTGAACTAAAATGTTTGATGGCAGAGGTGGAGGTGACTGTACCAGTGAACTATAATGTTTGATGGCAGAGGTGGAGGTGACTGTACCAGTGAACTATAATGTTTGATGGCAGAGGTGGAGGTGACTGTAACAGTGAACTATAATGTTTGATCGCAGAGGTGCAGGTTATTGTACCAGTGAACTATAGTGTTTGATGGCAGAGGTGGAGGTGACTGTACCAGTGAACTATAATGTTTAATGGCAGAGGTGGAGGTGGCTGTAACAGTGAACTATTATGTTTGATCGCAGAGGTAGAGGTGACTGTACCAGTGAACTATAATGTTTGATCGCAGAGGTGGAGGTGGCGGTACCAGTGAACTATAATGTTTGATCGCAGAGGTGGAGGTGACTGTACCAGTGAACTATACTGTTTGATGGCAGAGATGGAGGTAACTGTACCAGTGAACTATAATGTTTGATCTCAGAGGTGGAGGTGACTGTACCAGTGAACTATAATGTTTGATCGCAAAGGTGGAGGTGACTACCGATGAACTATGTTTGATGACAGAGGTGGAGGTGACTGTACCAGTGAACTATAATGTTTGATGGCAGAGGTGGAGGTGACTGTAACAGTGAACTATAATGTTTGATCGCAGAGGTGGAGGTGACTGTACCAGTGAACTACAATGTTTGTTCGCAGAAGTGGAGGTGACTGTACCAGTGAACTACAATGTTTGATTGCAGAGGTGGAGGTGACCGTACCAGTGAACTATAATGTTTGATCGCAGAGGTGGAGGTGACTGTACCAGTGAACTACAATGTTTGATCGCAGAGGTGGAGGTGACTGTAACAGTGAACTATAATGTTTGATGGCAGAGGTGGAGGTGACTGTACCAGTGAACTATAATGTTTGATCGCAGAGGTGGAGGTGACTGTGCAAGTGAACTAAAATATTTGGTCGCAAACGTGGAGGTGGCTGTACCAGTGAACTATAATGTTTGATCGCAGAGGTGGAGGTGACTGTACCAGTGAACTTTACTGTTTGATGGCAGAGGTGGAGGTAACTGTACCAGTGAACTACAATGTTTGATCGCAGAGGTGGAGGTGACTGTACCAGTGAACTATAATGTTTGATGGCAGAGGTGGTGGTGACTGTACCAGTGAACTATAATGTTTGATCGCAGAGGTGGAGGTGACTGTACCAGTGAACTATAATGTTTGATCTCAGAGGTGGAGGTGACTGTACCAGTGAACTATAATGTTTGATCGCAAAGGTGGAGGTGACTGTACCAGTGAACTACAATGTTTGATCGCAGAGGTGGAGGTGACTGTTCCAGTGAACTATAATGTTTGATCGCAGAGGTGGAGGTGACTGTACCAGTGAACTATAATGTTTGATCGCAGAGGTGGAGGTGACTGTACCAGTGAACTATATTGTTTGATGGCAGAGGTGGAGGTGACTGTAACAGTGAACTATAATGTTTGATCGCAGAGGTGGAGGTGAATGTGTCTGGAAAGTAGAATATTTGGTCACAGACATGAAAGTGACTGTGCCTGTAAACTGAAAAGTTTGGTCGCAGGCGTGGAGTTTATTGTGTCTGGAAACTGCAATGTTCTGTTGCAGACTTGGAGGTGACCGTGTCTAGAAACTGGAATGTTCGGTCGCTGATTTAGTCATGTGTTTGCTTGCAGGGATCTCTGTAAAGGCGGTTCTCTTTGATCTTGAACTTGATTGTACGTGGTCACTGTGTCGTCTGAGCAATTCCCTGTACAAGTTTCTAACTCTCTTATTACAAATAAATGACATAAAGATAAAGACACCCTGCAAACACATGACTGGGGACACCAGGAGATTGATAACAGGGCTGTGCAGATGAAGGGCCGCTCCGCAAACAACGTAGGATGTTCCTGTAAGGGTAGATAACTTCACATAGGTCAGCACTCCCTTGCTTTCAACTGTGGATCTTCTCAGTCTAGTTACGTGAAGCATTTCTCGAATAGTCAGAACATACAGGACCCCATTAATGAATATTGTGAGACAGAGAGGAAGCACAAGTGACAGAAGAGTGGTTAAAATTGACTCGGTGACGTCCAGAAAGCAATATGTATTACTGTAACCATTGGAGGAACCTGCTGTGAGACACATGCAGACGAGCACATATATTACAATAATCACCACAGGTGATCCGAATGCTGAGATACAGTAGTGCAAGTGTCGTCTGCTATCGCTGCGTGTGTTGATAAATTTGGTGCTTTGGCAGGTAAACACTCGGTACATGTGGATACAACAAACACTCATCCACATGAAAGTTGCCAACCAGAAGTAATGGACCAGAATGGCGTGGACCAAACAGTAGTGTTGATTTAGTTTTCCAGCAATGCCAAACTCAGCCGTAACAAACAGGAAGATGTGTGCCAGAGCTAGAGAAAGAGTTAAACACATGTTATTGAGGCCGGGCAAAGTGCGCAGCACGGGAAACAAACAGTAGGTTACAAAAGAGGTCAGTAAACAAACTGCCGAGAGAGACGAGCATAAGATTTCTAGATAAAAAGTGGCAAGCACTAATCGATAGTCTGATATATTATCACTAAACTCAGTTAGAGGCGATTCTGTGAGGTTCTTAAAAAGATCAACACAAATACGAATTTCGTCGCCAAAAACAGAGATATTTGCTGCACTGGTTAATGTAAAATGTCTGTTGTTATAAGAGAAGCGCACCACTATGGAGCTTCCGTTAAACGAAATATCTGTAAAATTTATAGCAACGAACTGACAGAATAAAGTATTTGTGATGTCTATAAATTTATCTTTATGCTGCCATTGTTTAAGACGAAAGCCTCCTTTTGAACATTGCGCTGTATAAAGTGTCTCCACAGTTGACCAGTCAGGTGTGACGTATGACGAGTTAGTATTTTTGCCTTTAGACTGCCAGCAACCGCCTTTCAATGAAATCTTGGAACTGGTTGTCCACAGATGTTCAGTGTATGATCGGTTGTCTTCCTCATGCAGAAATGGCGCGAAGCCTTCTCCTAGTAGTGTGGTTATCAAGTTGACTGTCGTATTCTCTGATTCTTGTACTGCCCGTGCTTCTCTAGCAAGTCTAAGAACATTACTTTCAAACTCATCTCTGTTATCTTTAGTGTTGCTAATTAGGTTAGCCACGACGACAACTTCTTGTAAAAACGCTTGGCTAGTATCTGGTGATCTGGACACAACTCTAACCCTGATCTTGAATTTAATTTCTTCCGATATTTCAGAAAGATCATTAAAAATTATTTCAGCAATGCGCTTGACGTCAAAATTTGAGACATAGAATTTCCTCGAATCAGGAATTAGAACCATAAACAGTTTATACCCAAGACCACAGATTTTCTGTATGGCGGTGCTGCAAAGACCACCCCCTTTAGCAAGTTTTCCAGCGGGACACGAAGCTGGCTGACATTCACCCTGAAATGGAAACAACGTTACATTGTAATAATGTGTACATCCTTTAAGTTTGTCAATAAATGATAAACAGTGCAAGATAACAATGACATAATACAATCTATTCCAACTAAACGCCATTATTAAGTTTGTGAGCAGGAAATAGGTTACAGTGTAGTCAATTATATATAGCCATGTGTGATACATACAATTAGAGTGAACTAAATACGCGCTTTCAAAACCAGCGAGCCAGCGAGAGCATTACCATCGTGTTTGTAAGATTATCTTTCCATCAAAGTTCATCATATTACGTAATTTCGTGTCACAATGAATACATTTGCAATGATTTATTTGTCAAATCAGCTGGACACATACGAAGGTTTTAGGTCTAAAAGTAGAAAGTACACTTAGCTTTCTCACATAAAAGGTAAATAGAAGGTAGGTGTGTGTGTGTGTGTGTGTGTGTGTGTGTGTGTGTGTGTGTGTGTGTGTGTGTTGTATGTCTGTTAATCCCAATGGACGTCACACAATGGGTATTTCCGTACATGACTAAACCTCTCCAGACTGTTCTCAGAAAAAAGATGGTTACAAGTCTCCTCATATCTTGACCTCGATAAAGGCCTGTGCCCACTTCTGCGCATACTGATCTCTGCTTCAAATTCAAGAAACCATTTATCCTTTCTAAACAATGGTGTCGTTTGATTCGGGCGAAGTATTTCAGTATGTAATAAGGTTATGATCAACGTAAAATGGCGTATCTTAGCTCACTGTAAGTGATATCCCACAATGATGGTCATACACGGTGTTGGTATTCCTCGCCCAAGTTCAAGGTGTTTCCTTCGTGCCGAAGAACTGTGTGGCTGTAAGGAAGACAGTTGTTAACGAAGGTAGCAGGTTGTTATAATGGCGACGCTTGGCTGATAGATGTACTGTCCCAGCAAGAGGACACAGATGACTGTTTATTCACTCCCCCCACCCCCACAAAACTGCGTATCACTATGGATTCAGGTAAAGCTATTAGGTGTAGACCCGAGCTTGATACCTTCTCTACTGACAACGAAGATAGACTAACATTTAAAAAACGAAGAAACGGGGTGGAAGAAGAAAGAGAAAGATGAGAGTAGGTGTCAGAAAAACCGCATTAAAAAAAACGTATTGATGGGCTTGCTTTTGTTTAGAGTAGGTTACTGCAACTACCGCAGAAAACTCAGAGGAAACCCTTTTGGGACACTATGATTTTAACATCTTTATGCTGCAAGAGAGGTTATGGCATCTACGTTGATTTGCCCGGAATACGGTAGATACATCAATCTATAGGGACAGGGGACAATTTAGAAAGCTATTCTAGTAAGAGATAGGGAAACAACATTCGGCACTTGATGTGAATCAATAGAACCCGGTAAGTAAGGAGCTTCAAGAGATACACACTGAGATAGAGGACTTTAAGTGGAATATTGTAAATGTATATGCACATGGAGATTCTTTTGTTGAAAATGAGCAGTGGGGCTGGCTAAAAGATATGGAACGACTGCCATGCTATATATGGAGACTTCGACAAAGAATGGGATTAGTCAGGGGAAAATCGGCAAGGAAAAGCATCGGAAAACACTGTCACTGACTCAGACTTCGTCTGCATCAACGATGGCAAACACACAAGAATGGCAATGAAGAGATCAGATGATACAGAAACAACCATTAATGCAATAGTCTCGCCCATTGCAGAACCAGACACTGTAGGGAGTGTACGTGGTGACCATTGAAAGATTTATTTCCATGTCCTGTCCTGCTGTCTACCTGGGCAAAGACCATGGCCAGTAAGGCGCGCAAAGTCTTTACATTAGGACTAGGAAGAATCGCTTATCGGGGGTCTTCAGAAATTAGCACGGTCAGTGGCCACCAGGAGTAGGTTTATCAAGTCGCCACGGTGGACTCCAGAGGTGGAAAAGGGGTGGAAAGGGGAAAAGCGCGCGGCAGTGAACGAATGTCAGTGGGTACGAAGGTTGTCCCTTCTTCAGCAAAAGTACGAGCATCAGAAGACGACAAGAAATCCAAGATTGCAGAGCTCACACTGTAAGTCGCAAACACTTATTAAAAAGAAAAAGGAAATTAAAAGAAAGAAAGAAATGAAATAGGAGCAGTTTGCCATCAGGTTGCAACAGGTACTATTAGCATGTCGATTCTTCGTTGGCATCCGAAGAAGGGGGCAGGGCCCGGTGGGAGTGTCCCTGCTGCAGCGATGTCAACTCTTGGTTCATTCATTCATTCATTCATTCATTCATTCATTCATTCATTCATTCATTCATTCATTCATTCATTCATTCATTCATTCATTCATTCATTCATTTCAGTGTGTAATCATTGTTTTGTGTATTTCCGTGTTTTTTTTATGTTCGCACCTGATAGTAAGTGTCTTCCTTCTTTCTATGCGACGATATTCTACGAATATTACTGCTATACTTGGATTAAAAAGTTTCGATGTTCTTTCGTGATTGCAAAGTGATCAATAACTGATATCTGCATGTTGCAAGACCAGAAGTATCCTGCTACTAGAAGAGCTAAAATCTACAGCTACTATGAACCCCCCCCCCCCCCCCCCCCCCTTAGACCTTAAAGTGAGATAAACGGCCTTACATTTTTACTTGTGAGTTGTTGTTAATGCCATTTTTCTGGCTCTGTCACCTTTCACGTTGCGTTTAAATGTCAGATGGCAAACTGGCAACGAGATAATCTCAGCATCACAGAGCTAATGTCCGTTGGGCAGACATTTTATCAAATGTTAAGCCTAAGGACTTCGGGTAGCAGATGGATGATGAACCACTGACATCAGGCATCATATTGGCGGAAACGTAACAGTTGTACAATTTAAGGTCGGAAAGCTGTAAAGTATTATCATAATTGTTATTGAGTAACATTTAAAAAAAACCTGTATAATATAAACAACAAAACGTATCCCAGAGTGACATACCTTCTTTCTATATGTCACAGTGGCCTACAGTATACACTTATGTAGGACATGGCCCATGGACAGTTACTCACAACTTATGGTAGAAGTGATAAAGTGATACGAACAATTAAAGAAACAATGTTATTTAACAAAACATAAAGTTAAAAAAAAAAGAAAGAAAAAAAAGAAATGAAGTGGTATTTTCAAGAACATGCGGAAAAAAAATTAAAATAAACAATGTTAAATATATTAACAAGATGAAAAGGGATCAATACAATATTAACAATTTATATGTTCTGATGACTTGTATGATCAAAGAATTATGGACAACAAATAAACAATTTCAAGTATGAGGGCGATTGTCCACGCCCTTGGGTGTAATGGGTATATATATTGCTAGACCGATACTGTACAGACGGATAGGCACTCAGTGTGTGATGGCAACATCAGGCCGGCCGCCTTTACTTCCCATGACTTTCTCTAGTACACAATAAAGGCTGGGTCAACCTAGGAGCCAGGAGTCAACATGGGAGCCATTGGGGGGGGGGGGCGTCCAGCTGGTCGCGGATTTGAACCCACACAGAACCCTCCGGCTTGTAGGCGAGCGTCTAACCACTACACTGCGAGGGTTACCGAATAAATAAGTAAACATTCGAATTCAAGCAGTGGACATCTGGTTTTACGTTAAGTTATGGTGGGATTTCATGGAACAAACACACAGAAATACACGTTCAGCATAGACTTAGATTCCCAAAATAGCTTAACTCTGGTTGAGGGTGAACTGGGGGTTTAAGGGGCGGGGGGGGGGGTAGTTTTGGAGATAGTATCAAAATTGTAATGGCAACCAGGGATCCTGATCTGTGGAGATGCATGAGCGCCTACGCCAGTTGACATGGCACTTGATGATGATGATGATCAAAATGACTGATAATCTGTTAAATTGTTTGCATAAACCATATGGCCTTACCATATGGCCTTACCAAATGGCCTTCTAAAACTCAGGTATTTCCGAGGTGACTTCAGTCATCCGTGTATCTCTATGTGTCGAAATGTTTAGTGGGAAGTCGATCTGAAGCAATGTACGTTATAAAGTAAATGAAAGCAGAAAATAAAACTTTTCCACGCCCTTGAGTGTTGGGGGCATGTAGGGCTAGACTTATATTTTATAGATCAAAATATACTCGGTGGTTGATGTGGTCAACATCACACCGGCCACCTTTACTTCCCAGGACTGGCTTGGTTGACCTGGGAGTCAATCTCATTTTCTTACCTCAATGCTGATTTGAACTCATTACCTTTCTTCCATTCAGGCGAGCATCTGGCTCTCATTCTATATGCTAAACAAACATACATGAATTGATGGGCACGCATAGAAAGAAGTAGAAAAACAGAAGGCCACACTAAACAACATAAAAATAGAAAGTTATAGTTACTATGCATGGACTTGAACCTGTCACCTCTGAATGACGACAGTCTTGCTGCAGACACAAGTGCGTTAAGACGTATGATCAATTAGCAGGTACCTCTCAAATGTGTCTTCATTATCGATGTCTATGACGCACGCGCGCGGATCAGAAGGTCGTGGGTTCGCTTCCTGGCGGAGCCGAATTTTTTTCAAAAATAAGCTTGACTCCCAGACCGACCCAGCCTTGAGTGGATACCGGGTGCAGTCCCGGGAAGTAGAGGCGGCAGGTGCGATGCTGACCACATCACCCATCTTGTGCCTATTGGTCTAAAATAATATAGCTCTAGCCCTATATACGTCTAAGGTTAGGTTAGTTGCGTATCCTTTACAGGACGTTGCAGAACCAACCCCAACAGCCCCTCGCTTTTGTGTGGTTTTTCTAGGCAAATTTACGTCCAGTAGTTTGCCATTGTTCCTGGACGGTCGGCTTTCTTGATACCAATGTCGAAACCAACGCAAGGCGCATGGCCCGCTGCTGGGATCGAACCCGGCATCCCGGCATTACAAAGCGTTCGCATCGACTTAGCCACAGAGCCAACATATACATCTAAAGGAGTGGGAAAAGACCTTTACTTACTTACGATTATTTATGTCTACGTAACATCTTGCGTCCACAACAATGCAGTATGGACAGAATTGGTCTCACGTGAATATTTAAAACATTTGTGGTCCTGGCAAGTATCGGATACTCGTAATTTACATAATTCGGCCGTTTATTATTTTGTTTCATTTGTTGACGTAATATTTGAATACGGTAATGTAGTCATTTCAGAGTCAGTTAATTTTGTCTTTGTCTTGTGTTTTCGCTGTTAAAGTCATCCATGTTGATCTTAGGGCTAGCAGCGGCGAAGATGTACCAACCGATTGCGATCTTTAATTAGGAAGGTAAAATTTAAGATTCAAGTCAAGAAATATTATCGTCAGCAATCATCATTCAAGTGTCGACTCCAAAGTAAAGGTTGGCTGAAATGGATGTTCAACATGCTCTGCCTCTTGCCCTGGTTGTACACTCGCTCAGACTGCTACCCGTTCATCTCTTGATGTTGTCCTCCCACTTGTATCGTTTGTCTATCCTTAGCTCTCTGGCCTTCGACTGTTCCCTCCAGTATGGTTTTTAAAATCGTATCATACCTTTTAATGTGGCCAAAGTTTTTCAATTGCCTATTTTCATATTGCCTTTAGTAATTCTCTTTTCATTAGTAGTCTTTCTACAACCTCTGCATTTGACTGTTTTTGTTTTCATGAAATATGACCGATTCTTGTGTATATCCACATCTCTAGAAACTAAATTCGACTTTTCTAGTTGCTTGTTCATTGTCCAAGTTTCTGCAGCAGACATCAGGATTGGGCACACATAACATTTGACGATTTTCATTTTGAGTGTCTTGTTTGTCTGTCTAGCTGTCAGTAATTTGCGCATCTTAATGAAGACAGTTTTAGCCTTTCACTTTCTCTTTTTGATTTCTGTTTCGTTTCTTTCATCTTCTGTTACTAAGTTTCCTTGATAGGAGACACGTGTTGCTTGTTCTAATAACTCTCTATTTACTGTGATGTTCACTGTTTGTCGCTCTTCTTCATTGTTTATTACCAAGAAATATATAACTACAATTACAGAAAACAATACAATGAAGGATATCCCAGGGATTCAGAAGTTGAGGAACAATATTTTGGCTAATGTATTGAGTAAATATCAAAATATCAAGTCCTTCAACGATTACCCTGGAGTGGGAAAAACAGGGGAGTGAAAGGGCTTCAAGCACTAACTGAAGTCTGCTATCACCAGGTTAAACACAATTTGGAATGTTTCTTGTGTAAATATTCTTGGTAAAAGGAAACTGAACACCGGACGTGAATAACAAAACTGAAGAAAAGAAAAGCAAAAGAAACGCTATAAACAATAAGGTAACTAAAGCTGCTAAAGCCAGAGCGCTTGAAAACTACACAGAGACTAATTAGGAAGCGAGTAAAAGCGGACAGAATAAAACACTGAGATGATCTAACAAAAGAAGCATGGACAGCAGCAGCAAAAGAAATCTCAGAGACCTCGACAACACCACTCGGAAATTAGTGAGAAAACATTAGGAGCGACTTTTGGGGCTAGTCTATTCTGAGTTCTTTCAAAGGATTGTGGTTACTTATCTATTTGAACTGTGCTGAGAACTTTCACATGACTATTTTCAGACTGATCCGCTCGGTTGAACAAAACGAACAAAACAGAACAAAAAGGACGCTCACATATCTAATCGCCCGTAAATGAGTGTGTATGTGTGTGTTTGTGCGTGTGTGTGCGCGCGCGGATATATGTGTGTGCATGCCTGTGTGTGTGAGTCTATGTGGAAAAAAAAATGCATGCATACAGGTCTCGCTGTGTCTATGCCAGTGCGACATTAATATTCACCCCAACTGATCGCCATTCACTCGAATGTTTGCAGCTGACATCGACACCGTCGGTGACGTGAGACTCAAGTCTGGATGCTCCCAGCAAAAGTGACAGGTGAGGTCTGGTGAAAATTTTAGAGTCGTAAAATATTCCACTACCCAGGGGCGTCCATTTATTACAGTCAGAGGCAGACAAAAGTCCGTCATTGCACATGTGGCAAAAGATCGTCGGACCTCCCGAGACACGGAGAAATTTGTATTTGAGCCCCAGACAGTGACCTTGGAGGCTGGACCGTGAACTTGAGCATGTTGCCTGGGTGACCCGGTGAAATTTGGGATCACACTGTTTGGCTCGCGCTGTGATCTTAGGTTGTGTGTACGCAACGTCACATTGTTCTCTGCCTAGTTCTAGCGCCGACCTGAACAGTTCCAATTCTGAAGTAATGTGAAATAATTGCTGGTAATGATGGCACGATACTGACAGTGTCCACGCCGACACGGTACCCACTACTGGTGTCGTAGAATCCTCTACTACAGTCACTTGTCTGCTTCCTTTGATAGAGTTACTATAGTTAATCAATTTGTTGATCTTTTTGTCAATGACGTAACCGTTACACATGGCACAGAAAGCATTTTTAAACGTTATGCCGTACTGTAAGTCAATGTACGGTGTCACATCGTCAAAAGTATCTGTTTTAGAATGTACACACCGCTCGGACACACTGAGACTGTCTTCTGTTTCTATGTCTGAATCCACGAGTTTCAAGCTGGCATTAGTTTGTCCTTGTTTTGCCATGTGTAGATAATCCGGTGAACAGTCTGTTATCACATACATGTAATTATCAGAACCTGGAAAGGCGCTACAGAAGAATCGATCTTGTGATGGGAGTTTTCTCGCTGGAAATGTTTCAGAATCATTCAGTGAGCTTCTGTTGTTAATGTCCATATCAATGTTGGAATCAAACGGTGGACAGCATGTCCCGTAAATGATGCAGTTCGGATCACAGTCACATTTGAAACAAGAGGGAGTCTGACAGTCGAAAGAACTGACGTGTTTAATGACCCTTCCTTTACAAACACGACCACAATATCTTTTGTAAAACTCCATCCAGTTTTCTAAAGTAGCGTTCCACACAACAGGTACGGAATGAATAATGCCACAGCGCAGGAAAACAATGGTACAGTTCAACAGAAATATCTTCCAACAAAATAGCATTGTTAATGTTCTCAACAGTAAAGAAATTACTGTGTATATCTGTTATTGTGCTGTAACAAAAGCATAATGAACGCTAAAATAAATGTTGTAATGTTTTCTCTGCGTGAAAAGTTCTCACATGATGTAATTCCAGTTGACAATGCACGTATATACCATGATATTTGAATTTGTTGTAAAATTACCATGGTACAGAATGCTATTCGCAGTTGTACTCATGCTCTTCCAACGCTTTACAAGATGGCTCAAAGGCCGCCAGCGATCTCTGGGCACTATTTATATTATTCAGATAACAACGAGTCTCATTTCCCACATGACCAAGAGAACATTTCGACAGCCTGTGGCAATTATGCAGTGTCGGCGCGACAGACGGAAACTGGTGGGTGAAGGGTTGTGCCTAATGGTGAAATTATCACACGCTGGCTCTCTCTCTCTCTCTCTCTCTCTCTCTCTCTCTCTCTCTCTCTCTCTCTCTCTCTCTCCACCCCAGAGTAGTGTTCTGTGTAGTAAAGTGGTAGTGTGTAATTCCTGCAATGGCTTACCGCCGCCGGGTGCAGTCTAAAATGACTTGATGTGGCATGTATATTTTCTTTAAGGGGAAGTAATTTTTGACGTATGATGCAAATCTTTTATTATTTTTCAAAGAGAAAAACAAAACAAAATAGGAAGCTGTGGGGTCACGTCGTCGTGCTGGTGTGTCAGCTTAGAGGATTTGTGGGTCATCGAGGGGTCACGACAAATGATACAATGGGATAATTATGGCAAAGGGGCGAGTGTGGTGTCTCGGGATCAGGTGCCGGAGACTCGTGGTTTTAGCGGTAGCTACGCTTCGAAATTGGGTGGTCTGATAAATGGGTTGTCAAGCATGTCACATTTGTATTATTGTCACTAGCATATGTTGTTTGTGCCCGTGTTGTCGTAAAGTATAAACTGTCACCCGGTGGGACAACTTTTTCAAACAAAACAAATGAATTTCAAAGCAGAGTCTGTTGAACTAATTGTCACGGGACAACCCATACCTATCTGCTTTTAGACTAGTCTGGGTCTTGTCACCTATATGCAGATGAGGTAAAATTGCTTCTTTTGTAATTTTGTGTCTACATGTCGGGTTATGTACACAATTCTATCCTAATTATCTTAGGAAGGTTATATTTTTTAAATTCAAGACTTTAGGTGGGAGATTTATTGATAGTGAAGCCAAAATTCCAATGGCCTAACTACCGCTTTGGACACGGACGAATCCCCTCCCGAGTCTGTCGGGAGAGACGCTTAGTTTGAATTATTCTTGACTGAGCTTCCCGAAAAGACGAACCGATTACTGCCTTTGTGTTGTATATCTGTCCATCTCTAGTGAATCACCGATTCATACTAGAAGATCACTGAGCATAGGTAAGTACAGTATAGTTTATAAGTACCTTACACGTTAACCCACTGCTGAGTGTAGGACAGAAGTTGCTATGTGAAGTAATAGGACTGGGCCGTTCAACCATTATATCAGTAGGTGGCCGACTGGACTTTACATCCCTGTAAAAAGCCAAAAATATTATTCCAGTTTGAACATCCCAGTTACAAGTTGCTTGTCTCCTTGGTGAATGTATTTAGTCAAATCTTCAAACTAAAAGATAATTGGGTCAGCACACAAGCTTTATCGATCGGTTTAAACCGAAGTCAGGCTGTCATCACTTCCGGCATCATGTAGTCGACAAAATACACAAACAAATCGGAGGAAGATCTGTATCTCTGTGTGTGTGTGTGTGTGTGTTTGTGTGTGTGTGTGTGTGTGTGTGTGTGTGTGTGTGTGTGTGACTTTTCAGTGTTACATATATTTATTTTCTTGTTTTTGTGATATACTTGTGTGAGTATAGATATGCCAGTATAAAAAAAGGTGAAGTGGTGTCCTTTACCAGGTTGTCTTACGCAGATTATCGCTGTCAGAACTGTTTTCCATGCTACTTTCTCAGCTGACGATAGCAACGTGATGTTGTACAGGCTAATGCAGTTTTCAACCCTATCACAGACTTCAAAGCTAAATGTATGTGGATAGACGGAAAGGTGAGGAACTAGGTATGTGGGGTGTAGAATGATTGCTAGTTCTGGCTTTTCTTTTTGTCACGGGATTTTAACTTCACCGAAAGCCAGGTCGACAATCATCCACACCTTATCTAGTATACCCTACCTCCAGCAGCAAGGAGAAGACAAATGGTTATTCAGGTCACCTTTGTTCCTGCATCATGTTGGTGACGGTACAGTGACAGCGATTTACTAACTGTGAGAGGGCAACCCCAAGGTTTATGTGATGTTCAGAGATCTGCCTGGCATCTTGCTTGCCTATACAAGAGTGTAGCAGAGACTTTAGCTATATTCATAATTACCACGGACTCTAGACCTGTGATATACACAGGGCAGCAAAATGGTATACATTTCTAAATTGTGTTAGTCAGTGTTTCTAGTTATGAATGACGTCTGCTGCATTCAGAATTGAGGAGGGGTTCATAAGTCAATACACCAGTCATGTGAGGAGGACTTCTTCCCAGCTAATCGGACCTTGTAACATATAAGTGAAACTCCAGCACTTGCGGTTAATCTTATACCTGCCAGTTCCTTGAGTCCAGTATTCCACATCTTAGCAGTGATGATGTTAGCTGCTACTAGAAGAAAACGCATGAGCGTACCTCTCATAACTTGCCTTTGTTTCCTCAGTGGTGACTGACGTTGCTGAATTCCTTTTCTTTTATTCCTACAATTGTTGCGCTGTTACAGGATGTTTTGTGTCTTTGGACATCTTTCACAGTTCCTAGTCGTCTGGAGTGTTTGTAGTGATGTTATATTACATGGTTTACTCTGTTATTTTGACTAGTATAGAAGTACTATCTAGTCTGGGGGCTTCATTGTAGTGAGGAAGTCGGGCCAAATTGCGCCTAGGAATGTTTATCTATTCTGTAGTGCCATAATTTTAGTCGCCTCACCCCTGAAGTGGGCTGGATGTTCAGTGGAGCTGCGTGATTCCACCTAGACCTTTGCGAGCCAACATCTCAACATTACAAACTACTTCAGAGTGTCATTTGGTTCATTAGGCAAAAACCTTACCAAAGGCACGTGACACGAACAGTATGTGACACTAATCTTATAGACGTCCCTTTCTTTCTCTTTTGCTGACCATCTGAAATCTGGTAGATCTTTCACTAACTTGATAGTTTTCTTATCTAACAGACAACTTTTCAACATTATTAGAGAGAGAGAGAGAGAGAGAGAGAGAGAGAGAGAGAGAGAGAGAGAGAGAGAGGAGAGAGAGAGGAGAGAGAGCAATAGGTCAACTTTGGTATGGACTAACCCTCTGTGCGAAGTTCCATACTACTGTTTGTGTGTCGTGACATACTACTATATGTGACTACTGTTTGTGTGTCGTGACATACTACTGTTTGTGTGTCGTGACATACTCCTGTTTACGTGTCGTGACATACTACTGCTTGCGTGTCGTGACATACTACTGTTTGTGACTACTGTTTGTGTGTCGTGACATATTACTGTTTTTGTGTCGTGACATACCACTGTTTACGTGTCGTGACATACTACTGTTTGCATGTCGTGACATACTACTGTTTGTGACTACTGTTTGTGTGTCATGACATACTACTGTTTGTGACTACTGTTTGTGTGTCGTGACATAATACTGTTTGTGTGTCATGACATACTACTATTGGGTGTCGTGACATACTACTGTTTGTGACTACTGTTTATGTGTCGTGACATACTACTGTTTGTGTGTCGTGATATACTACTGTTTGTGTGTCGTAAAATACTACTGTTTGTGTGTCGTGACATACTACTGTTTACGCGTCGTGACATAATACTGTTTGCGTGTCGTGACATACTACTGTTTGTGTGTCGTGACATACTACTGTTTACGTGTCGTGACATAACACTGTTTGCGTGTCGTGACATACTACTGAGCGTGACTACTATTTGTGTGTCGTGACATACTACTGTTTGTGTGTCGTGACATACTAATGTTTGTGTGTCGTGACATACTACTGTTTGTGTGTCGTGACATACTACTGTTTGTGTGTCGTAACATACTACTATTTGCGGCTGGAATTTGGCCGTCATTTTAACCTTATAGAATGTCTGGTCTGCTTACACGAGACAGTTTGCTTGATCTGACATACTCTCAAATTTCAGAACATTTAAAGTTATTTTCCGCTATGAATCTGATCTACTGCATGTATGTGTGTGTGTGTGTGTGTGTGTATGTATATATGTGCGTATGCATATTATTTGTATGTGCAAGTGTGAGGCTAATACGCCTAAAAGTATATTAAATGGTCTTGTACATTTGTTTATAAATTATTAATGCCATTTTTCAATTTGACCCAGCTCTCAAGTTGTGCATTAATATCAAATGGCAATCTGGCAACGAGATAATCGCAACACATCACCGAGCTGATGTCTGGTGCGCAGAGATTTGCTAAAATGTTAAGCCTAATGGCTCTGTGAAACAGACAAAAAATATCACAGATCTGTAATGGAGTAGCTTCAAAAACAAAACTGGTTCATAAACAACACAATGTGTCGCGGACTGAAATATTTTGGCCAAAGGTCAACAGTGGCTTGAAAGGTTCAGTATGAGAAAAGACTGCTGAACATCTGTCAACAGATGGTGACAGAAGCGATGCGACAAATTTCAGGAAGTGAAGACGAAGGAAGAGGAGCAGGAAGATAAGGATAAGCTAACAAACAAACAAGAATCTGAATTCATCGATCTCTCACAGTTTGTCTTGTAAGTAAACTTTTTTGAGCCAGATTTCTTCTCTCTTTCTGGTCAGTTCTGAGAAGTCTTCGATGGCGAGCTGTGAAGTTTGTTTGACGACTATAATTATAATGATTCTGCTGGTATTATTATCTCCGACACCAGAAGAAAGGATTGTAAATTATGCATTTACAATGCAAGGTCAAATGTTCTGGCTCCACGCCTTGACTTGTCCTAAATCAATAAGGAAAAAACA